CGTGAATTTGGTTCGTATCTGAAAAAAATCTTAGAATACGAAAACATTGGTGAATGCCACAAATTCTCCTAAACCACTCGTACGYACAACTTTAGAACAAATCTGTTCGTACGAACGGTTTTTGCATGAGGCCCAATGTTTGCTGGGAATATGTTTGTTAAACTTTTTCTTTATTTTTATGTGTTATTTTGACCCTTTCTTTCTCTGTCTCTCTGTCTTATCGTTGACCAGTAGGAACCTTCAGAAACAAACAGAGTATGAGCTCTTCACTCTTGTGCTCCTTTGAATCATTGGGCACCACTTCCTCTTGTTCTGTGGTTCAAATCATAAACTATCCGTGCGATTTTTACACMCAGTAACTACCCGAATACAGAAAACATTACAGGCATAATTGACATCTCTCCATGTGGCAACACAACCAAACATTTCATCTATAAATACCTTAATATGTCCTGGTAAAGCCCAACTTATCACAGACATATGAACACCATTCTGCTCATTCATTCATTTGTTCATTCGTGAGCTCAAAGCATGAGATGTTCTTTAGAARTACTTGGTGTGCTTTGTCTTTTTGTAATCACCATCTTTTGTCTCTGAACAGAGGGYGGTGGAACGCAGAGTCAGGAGTCATGTGGGCTGGACAGCGTGTGTTTGAATGGAGGCTACACCCCCAACACCTTCACCCTACATGGCTTGGGGACAACACCAGGGTCCCGAGCTGGAGTGGTGGGCAGCACTGACCTTCTGAGGGATGGAGGAGTCGGGATGGGTGGGGATGACATCTCCCCTGGCCTYCTCACTCCACACGGGGCAGCAGATATGAGCAGTGGGACTGGGATGCGTCGCAACTTGTCGGACGCAGCGGCGCTGGAGAAGATGATCATTTCAGAGTTGGTTCAGAGCAACCTGAGGCCCTCGGTGCCCATGCCTGTTCCTCCCGAGCGATACGGGAGCTTGGCCAGGCCACACCTTCACGAGAGGACAGCTCTCACTCACACTGCCACCTTAACTCGACACACTCAGCCACCCCAGGAGGGCTGGGCTGCCACTGTGCAGCCAAATACACGGCACAACCCACAAGAGGGCTGGGCACACACAAGGCAGCCCACTCAAGACACTGAGGCAACCTCCACAACACACGGTGAAGATCATAGCACAACCACACGCTTACAAGATGGCTGGTCTCACACACGTGTTCCTGCAGACGCTGACTCTCGTGAGCTGCTAAAAGATGGCGACCAGTCTCAGTTGCAAGGTACTCTGGGCCGTCGGGGGCACCAGGACCGGCAGCAATCACGTCCCCCCGATGTCCAGGCTCGGCCTTACTCCACCCTCAGCCGTACCCCTGGTACTCTGTCCCGACACCGCAGCACGATGGAGTCAAGTGGAGGGACAGAAAGAGATAGAGACCGGGAGCGAGACAGGGATCGTTACCGGGACAGGCCTCTTCCACCACCGCCTCCTCCTCCTCCGCAGGAGTCAGAGCCCCTGTACAAAGCTTTGGAGGAGCYGCTGCTGCTGAAACAGAGAGAAGCCGTCGTGGAGGCATGGAAAAGTGGCCAGGACAGAGAAAAGGATGAGACATTTCTGCTGAAAAGAGAAGGAATGTATGACGAATGGAGAGGAGGAACCGAAAGGGGAAGAGACGAATCCTTTACCTCTCAGAAGAGAGATGGCACAATGGATGAATGGCGAGCTGGCATTGAGAGAGGCAGAGAGGAAAAGAGAGATGGACGAATGGAGGTGTGGCAAGGAACAGAAACAGATCAGGAAGAGACATTTATAACTCAAAAGAAAAACTTTAGCATGGATGGCTGGAGAGGTGAGTTTGAGAGGGACAAAGACGAATCTTTGTTCTTGAAGGACAGAGATGGTTGGAGAGCAGGGATTGAGCGAGAAACTGAGAAGCAGAAGGACAGAGCGCTGGATGTGTGGAGAGGAGGAATCGATTTGGACAGGGAGGAGTCTTTTTCATTTGAGAACAAAGATGGAGGTCTAGATGGGAGGAAAAGAGGAAAAGATAAAGGGTCTCTTCGGTATCACGGCGAACGGCAAGATTCTGACAGCTTCACTCTGCCTTTGACCCCTGACCTTGACCTGGACCCTGACTCGTCACCTATCTACGCCCGAGATTCAAACCCCTCCCCACTCTACCCTGGAGACCGCCGCTCATCTCCACTCAGCATATTTCCTCGAAACTCACCCCAGACAAATATCTTTGCCCCGCGAGAAAACAACTCCCCTCCCAGCAACCTCTTCTCCCGCCACTCCCCGCAGGTGTACAGCCGCAGCAGCTCCCCCCCACGTTTCTACACCCGCACCTCACCGCCAACTCACCTGTACCCAGACAGCAGCCCCGAAGGCCCAGAAGAAATCAGTCCCACAGGTGGTCCGTCCCAGCGGCCTGCTCTGGAGCTCCCCTACAGCCTGGGGCGACCCCCGCTGGGCCCACGGCCCAATCACCTGCAGACCTTTTATCAGCCACCGCCGCTGGCTACCAATGGAGAGACAGGGTACTCTGCAGAGTCCACCTCTGATGGAGATGACGGACAGATGCAGAGGGTGACGAGCCTGTGACTAGGGCGGTGGTGATTGGGGCATAGATACCAGGGAGGAAGAGGAAGATGGTGATATTTTTCAACAAAAAGATGAAATCTAAAATTGATTTTTGAGCCCACCAGTTATGATTAAAAGAAATTTGCCAATGATGATGGACTACTTCAACTCCTCCCTGCTTCTATTTCCCGATCACCACGAGACGTCTCCCTTATCCATGTTTCTTTACTTTTTTTTACGACTGCAATCAATTTATTTGCTCCTACTACTCTTCCGACTTCCCTGAAACCCTGTTGTGTCTTCCCATCTCATTGGTGCTTTTTCTAACTGGTCCATCATTTCAGTTTTTGTTGCTTCATTGGCTGGGTGTTGCCCCTCTCTGTAGCAAACAGTGTCAAAGAAGCACTCGTGTGTTGCCAAAAAAACCCTCTCAAAGAATATGTGCATGACTTTACAGTGGCTTTGCAAGGCTACATACTGTAGGAGGAGGCGCTGATGCGTACAAGCAAATGTGTGTGTGCGTGTGTGTGTGTGTGCATTCCCTGATGAGCATGTGTGTGTGAAAGGGTGTGTATATGTGTGTATGAGAGAGAAAGTACATGTAAATAAAACATTATTGTATAATTAATGTATCACATTAAAGCATTTTATCAAAATGGATGTGAAGGACTGCTTCGCTCCTTCGGATTTTAACTCTTGACTTGTCCTGTTTCACATCAAGACCAAAACTTCTGTCCTCTCAATCTGCCACTAACTGATGGAACTTGTTGCCATGAGTTTGTCAAAGCAACTGAACACTTGACTGCAGAGCTAGAGATCATGAAAAACCTCAGAAACTTTTCTGCAACCCCCTGAAGATCCTTGTACATATTCACCTCAAGTGTTCTGATTGTCTTGTATTGCTATTGAAGTTCAAGTAAACATGTGAAATAAATGTTTCTGTTTTTCTGTTTGTGTGCACAAAGAGAGATGAAGATATTCAGATATTTTTACACATTAGCTGAGAATGTGGCAGAACTGATGTAAGTGGTATGAATTAAAAAAAAGTAGTTCTTCCAGATAGGCTCCATCAATAGATGCTATTTTATAATTCTTCACTTTGCTGATCAGTGGCAACTGGTGGTGATATTTGTAGAGTGGGCTAATAGATCTGATATTCAGATATATAAGAAAAAAAACTGCAGATTGGATTCCAACAGAAGCATTCAGTGAACACGTAAAGCAGAAAAAATAATTTGTTAGCTCCACTTTCTGTTAGCCAGTCCTTTTGATGAAACTTTGTCAATTTTTACCGCCTTTCCTTTTGCTGGATTTCAAAGTTTTTTTAGTCTATACACCCTCAGCCTTTTCACTTCAATTTTTTCCTCCAAAGACATGAAGGAAAACAGAGAATAAATTAAATAACCTACCTTATGTTAATCTTGTTCACCATCATATAAAATCTATACCAAACCAGACCCACATACACTCACACTCAAGACACGTTATTTTATGTCCACCTTGGGGTAAAACAAAATGAGCCCCAATGAGCAAAAAACTAAGGGTTAGGGACGAGACGTCTGTCAACCTTTCTGTACCACAAAATATGTCTGTGAAAGATAACCATTTGAAAAGATGGGTTTTCTTGAGATTGTTTGGCACCAGTTTTCTCAAAATGTGATACAATATTTTAAATTGGAGTATATCTAGCCTGGCCCTTGCCTTCCTACGCAGTTCCGCTCAATTCTAGTTTCCCTTCACTGCTCCATCTGGGACTTCTCCCATAGAGAAGGATTTCTTCAGCAGAATTTCATTTGGGCCAATCAGCAAACAGAAGGCGGAGTTTTGAACGTCAATTTTCTGCGCAGTGTCTGTTAGTTATTTTAGCATACGGAAGTGGAGGAAGTGAATGAAGCCAGTCTGTGTTGATAAGGCTTCTAAATTAAATTAAATGTGTCTGACAAAGCAGCAGCTCTCATTTACTGTCGTCTCATTCGGCTCTGTACTCTCAGTAGGGTTGTTTACAGCACACACAGTTTCTGGTTAGCTTCTTAGCTTAGCCTCCTTCGCAGTGGCGCTGGCATACGTACGTCACGGCCAACCAATCCAATCATTTTAAACTTCAGCAGAGGCCACGCCTCCAGCAAGAATCGCTTCTCTATAGCCGAGAGTCCAGACCCTCTGTACAAAGCAAAGTGAAGTGGTTTTAACCAGGCTAGGGTTTATAAGGTATTTAAACATTTTTAATGTAAACACAAATGAGGGGCTTAGCCCCACTACCCCACTTACACCAACAGTCTGGTGTCAATTGAGACAAATATATTGCTAAAGAACAATAACACCAACAGATAACAAAATTAAGCCAGCACAACCCAAGAAATTAGTTAGTGTTTGTATAAAACAGCAAACGCACAATCAACAACAAAACTTTCATTAGGCGTTAGATTAGAAGAGTACTTTCAGTTCTGATGCTTTTGTCAATGAGAAAAGCAATGAATGTTGGTTCTGTTGTTTATTCCTTAGTTGCTATTTCTCATCAATTTTTTTACCACAGCTGACTGGGAAAATATTCAACAGCCATCATAGACACCATTAGTACCTCCAAAAAGTTCTCAAAGGGGTGATGAAGTAAGAGCCACTGATCCTATTGAAGTGCTGCACCAAAGCTCAAAGCCAGAACAACTCGAGTGGTTTTGTTATTATGATGGAGGCTATTTAAAACATGCCACAGCTAAACAGTGGCTCAGTTGGTTGAGCTGTTGCCTCTCAGCAAAAAGGTTGCCAAGATGAATCCCAACCAGGGATCTTACTGGGTAGGGTTTGCTTGTTCTCTTCTGGTATTCTAGTTACCTCCCACAGAYCAAAACCATGACTGTTAGGCTGGTAACTCTAAACTGTCACTAGGTGTGAGAGAGAGAGTGAATGGTTGTCTGTCTTGTTTGTCTCTATGTGGTCCTGTGAAGGACTTGCAACCTGTCCAGGCTGTACCCCTCCACTCACAGCCAAATGCCCTCTTAATCAAATTCAGCTTATTTAAAATAACATGCTCTTCACACTCTAGTGATGGAAATAATGAAAAACATAAAAATCAGAATCAGATGAAGAGGTGGTAGACCCTTTGAGAGAAAAAAAAATCTTAAAAACCTGCGAAGTGAATTGACCCAGAAATAAATAATTTATGATTTCATYACATCAAAAAAAGTCTCTTTTTCTCTATTTTTATTAATATTTTTACCTGTTTTGAATATACTAAGGCTAATCTGTGTGCTGACATTAAAAACAGACAACTCATACTTTTTCAGTGAATACATCAGAGATAGATTTTAATCATTCTACAAATTGTTTAATCAACAAATTTCTCAGAAAGACATTAAAATTTATAGTATTGTTTCATTGTGTGTTTTATCACACATAAATACAAAGAAATGAAAAATTTAATGACATCTATTGATACCATAATTTAGAAAAGTCAGTTTCAGTTCTATTTCTGCTTCCATTCATCAACATTCAACAAGTTTTTGTCAAAAATAGTTAAATAATAAATGTATTTATATTCATATAAATATATATTGCATTCTATTCAGTTCTGTGGGATAAATATAAAAACTAACATGAAAATGTAAAAGTGCATTTAAAGTATGAATAAAGTTATAAAAAAGGAAATATTTACAAGTTAAGTACAGTGTTCTGTGGTTTCTGTGTTCAGTTTGATCTCACAAGGGATAAGTCACAAGGATAAAAGTGCTCAGCCTGTTTACATAAAACAAACTCTACAAGCAGGTATTCAGTCTCTTTCTATCAAGTCATATTCAGTTTGTGTTTCTTTCTCTTCTGAGTTGCAGACATTAATTTTCTCACTTCCTGTCATAATGCTGAGGTATGTTATTGGATTTCTGAGGAAATTGTCTCACATTCTTCAGATCTGCTGTCTGTTCAGACCAGGATTCAGGCAGCTGGATGTTCTGTTGATGGGTGTGAGCTTTAGCAGATGGTGTGATGAGGTGACATGGGGCTGTCCAGTGTGTCAGTGGGAGACAGGTCTGAGCTGGAGCTTTTAAACATGGGAGAGACGTAAAAGGCCTGCAAAAAAAACATAAACTGAGACTCTAGACATGCTCCAGTAACCCATAAACAAGCAGATGAAGTATACTGACCACCCAGTAAGCAGTGAAAGCTCCCTGCAGGTAGCCTGTTAACACGTCGGATGGGTGGTGTCTGTAATCAGAGATACGAGTCAGGCCTGTGTAGACCGCCAGCAGGACCGCAAAAAACTGAATCATTGGCCTCAGTAATCGAGCCCCCTGCCATGTAAACCGCGCCTGCAAGTAAAACTGAAAAACAAAGAAAATGCTTGCTTTTAGTGAACTAGATAACACAAAAAGGACAATGTTCATAACAATGGTGTCGGATGTTCTCTGTTCAAAGGAGGCTCATTTTACTCCTTTATCAAAAGCATAATCAGTATCTTTTGAAACATGTTGAATGTTCTGACAGTCTGAAGAGTAATTTGAGGCACTAGATCTATTCTCCCTAAATTTATTGCAAACTTTTTTTTAACTTGAGTTGTTTTATTAAAGGAATCCACGATTTGTTGTAACATTAGACTTTATTTGATAAACATTTGTTTTAACTGTAAAATAAAGACTGTAAAAATACTGTAGGATGTTTTGTTCAGTGATTTTTAAAAAGTAGATTTTAACATGGACGGGGGCATTTTATTTACACACAAAAGCATTCTGGGTAAATGATGATGTGGATAGGTCCTCGGTGTGAGCGAGCTATATCCACCCTGAAGGTTAATCTTGGACAATATCTGATGATCGACTCTTTTAAATGAAACCAGAGAGCGTTGACAGAGAGGAGAAGGTAGAAATGACTCAGTCTGTAACTGAAAATATGGATGGAGGACAACAGAGCTGCTTCATGGAAGAAGAACCTCAGCTTAGCCTGTTAGCCTTCACGTTACTGCCGATGCTWTATTGCCTTATATGTATTAGCTCGGCGCTAGCGCGACAAACAAGCTAAACTGAGGTTCTCCATCTATTTTTTCAGCTGCAGGCTGAGTCATTTCTACCTTCTCCTCTCTTTCAACTCTCTGTGGTTTCATTTAAAAGAGTCGATCATCAGATATTGTCCAAGATTAACCTTCAGGGTGGATATAGCTCGCTAGCAGCTTCACACCAATGACCTATCTATGTCATCATTTACCCAGAATGCTTTGCATGTAAATAAAATGGCCCCATCTGTGTAATAATTTTTAAAATTTTAGTTTAAAAATTATAAAAACTAAACAGCCTACAGTATTTTTACAGTCTTTATTTTACAGCTAAAATATATATTTATTAAATAAAGTCTGTTGTTTTAACTAATCGGGGATCCCTTTAAAATCTTATTTCACAAATTTCACAACAGTCTTGTTTCCCCAAACCAGGAGTCCAAAACCTAAGATTAGTACGTTTAGAAATTTGAAATTTGCCTAAGCAAACACCCTGTTCCAAAACACACACAAACATGTGGGCACACACACACACACTCACACACACACACATTCACACAATAGAGAAGAGCTGTGAGATGGTGAGGTGAGGTCACAGTCCTCCCACAGCAAAACAAAGAGCACTCTGTTTTCTCGTCTTTCATTATTTCACTTTCACTGCTAACTGGACCAACAACGTGTAAGACACTGTCTTCAAAAATCTCAGATTGGATTAGAAATGGAAGTGAGAAAAACAGCATTTGTTTGTGTCATCGTGAAAGAGTAWAAACAGAAATACTCACTGCTAAATACAGCATTGTGTACATTGCAAAAGAGGCATGGCCAGAGAAGAAGGACTTCCTACAAAAAAGAAAAAACAATTTTAGGTTAGTTCAAACAGAAGCATATTAAAAACATAAATCCATATTGATATTTAGACTGCAAACACAAGATGTGGAAAAACTTGTTAGTACTGTTACAGCTCACTGAAACCATGTTTTATTTCTCCTGAAAAGTGGTTACATAAAAGTAATTTTCTACCATATATATGCTTGCCTTTAGTTTATGATAGAATCGATGGGCACATAATATTGTATCATATCAAACGTAGACTTGTGAATTGAATTGAATGGAATTGTATCATGACAAACTTTGTGTTTCAAATTAGATGTTTGACATTAATTAGTATCACAGTTGTCTTCAACTGTTAAGTCTATTCGCAGGGAACAACCAAACAGAGAAGTCTGATGTTCCACGCTGAACATGACAGAAAAAGCAACGATGAGAGCTGTAACAGGAGCTCAGACAGAAGATTAAAGACACACACGTTAAAGCTAAAAGCTACAATAACCATATCAAAGCAGCTTTATGTTCCTGTGACCACAGCTGCCAACCTTAATAGAAATTATAAGGTTTATGGAACTGTAACCAAGCTTCCAGGATGTGGATGCAAGAGGAAATGCAACCCCAGGTTGATCAGATAGTGTGGATGGTATGAGGAAATCATTAAAAACCATTCAAGCTTAACTTCAAGGTCAACGTATTTTCAATCCTTGTGCCTCCATGGAGAAGACCCAGGAAGGCTCATCAACTAACAGAGAAACAAACTAGAAAATGCCAACATTCATGTTCACAAACTTTAAAGTTTCTGAGCCTGGTGATCCGTCAACAGCTTCTTTTTAAAATTTTTTCCTATTCTAGAAGGGTACCAACAAATGTACTCATTAAAAACACACACACCTGGCCTCTTCCACTAAATGGGGATTAGAACTGGGACAGGTCACTGTTGCAACGTAGGTCCCAGGAGTGCAGTTAAGTGATGCGTAGGTGATGCCACACACAGACAGGAAGTGAGGTCGTAGCCGACCCACGCTGAGTTTGGCCATGTTGGTCAATGATTGGCCGATGAAGCAGCCAAACAGAAAGCAGCCCAGCTCCTTATACAGGCAGGACACGTACAGGTTCCTGACAAAAGCTTTGGAAGTAACACCTCGGAAACGCACCCGGAAACATTCCCCAAATGTAATCTAAGAAGAAAGATGCAATCAAAAATGGCATTATTGGACATTATCTTCATTTTGAAGAGTTTTAAAAAAAAGCAACTGCTGCAATGGGAAAAATGTAGGTTATGAGCTCTTACCRTGAGGCCTGCAATAATGATTCCACCTGCGATGAGTAATTTGTCTGATATGACTTCACTGTGTAGGTAAGGATAGGTGATGCTGGGGTCTCCACAAATGAAGCCCCTTCTGTATGGACTCACTGCCTTCAGCTCGCAGGCAAAAAAAGGAACTGATACTGCAAGAAAAGACAGAAATKGAACAAATTAGCCAACATTAATTCATATCAAAGCAATCCCAAATGAGTTTTATATTCTTGAGWGGAGAGGAGTGCAATTTGTGTTTAGGTATTAGAGTTTTTTCTTTTTCCTTTTTTTAACAACACATTTAATTCAACTTATTGCGCTTCAAGTTGACACTAGTTTTGAGTGTATTTTAAGCTGTTATCAGTAAGTTGCAACATTGTGAAATGTCGTGTAAAATGTCCCTAAAGTGCCACGCCATGATTTTAAAATCATATTTGCTGTTTGAATTTAAAATATCAGTTAGGTTTACCTGTTCAGCCTCTGCCAAACATTCATGATTTACAAAAGATCAGGTTTTATCACTCTTGTGATCCAATTAATTGTTATCTTAAAAAGAAGCCTTGCATTTTTGAGTAAAATAGTTGGCCTTTAATGAATGCTGTTTTCATCAGCATGTTAGATTATGACTGTAATTTACGTGTAGCTTGAGGGCTGCAATGTCACAATCCTGACTCACTGGCTGCCAAATGTAAACTCAGCACAAGTAAATGTTATGTCTACATAAACAGCAGTATAACTTTTTCCTTCATGACTGTCAAAAGAAAAACTAAATTGTGATCAAAAGCCACTGAACTGTTTTGATCTTTTTTTTATTATTATTATCTGAGATTGTATAGAGATGAAACGAGGAATGAAACCACCAGGACTGAGACATGAAACCATCAGTGTCTGAAAAGTAAAAAATACAAAGCCTCAAAATCTTTTTTTTTTCACATTAAAACGTATACACAGTCTTATAAAGGCCTGGAATTTAAAAGCTGATCAAATGTTTTAAATCTAAAAATAAACATTGAGTAGGTCGGTTTCTTCTTTGTTGAAGACATTTTGTCTCTTCTCCAAGAGACTTCTTCAGTCGGAGAACAAAGTGTCTTCAAAGAAAAAAAAAAGAACCCGTCCAGAGGACCTTCTCAGATTCTTCTACCTGGATTATTGAGATGCATCAGGATAAATGTTTTAAAGTAAAACAACTTTTATGTGCGTTAATACAGTCTTTGTTACACAGCTGAATATCTTCTTCATCACAGCTTGAGGTCAAGACAAAACTCAAAGTTAGGGACACAGACCATGGAATTTAACTTTTGAACCCAAAGTTGTTTTGCAGGGAAATAACAACGAGGAATACTGAGTACACAAAAGTCACAAAACTTCTCCACTGGGACAAGAAAGAAGCAAAAAGCTTCTGTTATCTGATAAAATCCACAAGASTGTTGAGGCACAAATAAACACAAAGTTGGAACTGTGCACGAGTTTCTGTAGATGAGCAGAAAGAAAAGGAGTTTGTGACTCCAGTTCAACTCAAACAAAGAACAACTGTTGTCTCCGACCAGAACCAGAACCAGTCTGATACAAGCCCTGTTTGTCTCTGGACACATCTGTCTTTTTCTGTTTTGCAMATCTTATACCACAATAGATAAACAGATAATAGCAAAAAGACAAAGACTTCTCCCTCCCTCCTGCAGATAATATTATATAACCACTCTCTTTTCTYATAAAGGGACCCTCAAGGCCAACTAAAGGGTGGGGCAGATCCACACACAAACATCATACTCGTGGGGTYGTCYATTTATTTATTTATTTATTCATAAACTAAATTCCCTCTGGCCTGACTCTGCCCTGAGAACCAGGATGCTGTCATAGAAACAGTRCAAGTCCCCAGGCAATGCTCAACCCAGCTGAGAAGAGACGAGGAAAACAAGAGAGCACATGCAAATGGAGAAAGTGGGAAGTTTTCCATTCCCATTTTTATAACTCATCCATTCTAAACTTTCTGTTTTCAAATTCAAACTAAAATTAATCCACTATATCCGATGGCTCGTTTAGTCTGGTTATCAGCTGGAAAAGCAGAACAAAACAGAAACTTAAGTGCATTTTGAAAACAAAAAGGAAGGAATTACTCTGCATCATTCAGCACCTTGTCAAGTCAAACAAAATAAAACAAGTTAAATTATTTGGACAGTTTTGTCWAACATCGTCTGACATTTTTATTTTAATAAACAAAAATGACAAGAACTATTAAATGACTAAATCAGAAATAGCTACATATAAAAGTTAGATCATGTAAAAAAAATATTGCCATAGAATTTAATCAGTGTAGTCTAAATCAATGCTGGTAATAATTAGCAGATAATTATTTTTCTTTTAGGATTTTGTTTGTATGAAAGATAAAATAAATTAAACAATAATAAATTACTGAAAAGTTTTCAGCTTTAAATTTTCTTCAAATAATGATCAAAAAGAGATTTTTAACCTCTTGAATAAAGATAAGTTTATGCRGCTCTTTAAAGTTAAAAATGTGTAAAACATTTACCAAGGAAGAGGCAGAGGAGGTCTAAGCCCACCAGAAACTTGCTCTTGGATAAAACTGGTCCACTTGAATCCAGCAGTTTCTTCCCAGTGTTCTGGTCCATCCCTGACAGGCAGCCTTTGGGTTCCGACAGTTTGAGCTGAAGCTCYGCATGTGGGCCGGACAACCCGACACTCTGTGTCCCAAATGTGTCCAACATGAAGACTGAAGAGGAGGCTGAGGCTCAGAGAGGAACAAAAACTGAATCCTAAAGGCAGTGGAGCTCCTCTGCGCAGTTTAGTGAAAGCAGAGTGAAAGCTTGGTTTTAAATAGTCCCCCTGCACGTGGTGCCGCACTGATTGGACGCCTGGTCTTAGTCATATTTACTGTAAGAAGTCTGCAGAACCAGTCTGGACTTGCTGCTGCAGCTTGTTCATCACCTTGACACCGGATGTTTGCGCAACACGCGAACCGGAATCTGATCCTTCCCTCCTCTCAGATCCTCTCAGGCACTATGGAAAAAATAATTTCCATGAAATTTCCACGAACTCAGATGGGAGGGTATGTGCATCAGACATGTGTCACAGTGAAGGAATGGCAGCTGGCAGACTTCAACTACATTCCCTGCTTAATTTTATGACAACACACACATGAAAAGTTCAGTTTGTCATAATCAATGATCACGTAGCACAACAATAAAGTAGGGATTTCTGATTAAATATTGTATATTATTAACTTTAGTCCTTATTTTAACACACATATCTTATTTAGGCCGTTGCAAAAGTTTGGGCAGCCTTGTTAATTTTCTTGATTTATCTTTATAAATTATTGATTGTTTAGGTTTTTTTTAAAAGATCAGTTAAATATATCATATAGGGGACAAACAATGAAATTTGAGGAGTGAAATTAAGTTTATATGATTTACAGAAAGTGTGTAATAACTGGTTAAACAAAATTAGGCAGGTGCATAAATTTGGGCACTGTTKTCATTTTATTGATTTYAAAACCTTTAGAACTAATTATTGAACTCAAATTTAGTTTGTTAAGTTCAGTGACCCTTGACCTCCATTCACAGGTGATTCCAATTATGAGAAAGGGTATTTAAGRGGGGCAATAGTAAGTTTTTCTCCTCTTTGCATCTTTTCTGAAGAGTGGCAGCATGGGAGTCTCAAAACAACTTTCAAATGAGCTGAAAACAAAGATTGTTCACCGTCATGGTTTAGGGGAAGGATACAGAAAGCAATCTCAGAGATTTCAGCTTTCAGTCTCCACTGTGAGAAACATTGTGAGAAAATGGAGGGCCACAGGCACAGTTCAAGTCAAGGATCTAAGTGGCAGACCAAGACAAATCTGGAATAAACAGAAGTGAAAGATTTTGAGAACAGTCAGAGTCAACCCACAGACCAGCACCAAASACCTACAACATCATCTTGCTGCTGATGGAGTCACTGTGCATCGTTCAACGATTCATCACACTTTACACATGGAGATGCTGTATGGGAGAGTGATGCAGAGGAAGCCTTTTCTCCGCCCACATCACAAACAGAGCTGCTTGAGGTATGCTAAACCACATCTGGACAAGACAGCTTCATTTTGGTATAAGGTGCTGTGGACTGATGAAACTAAAATAGAGTTATTTGGGCAGAACAAGGGCTGTTATGCATGGAGGAAAAAGAACACAGCACTCCAAGAAAAACACCTGCTACCTACAGTAAAATGTGGTGGTGGTTCCATCATGCTGTGGGGCTGTGTGGCCAGTACAGGGACTGGGAATCTTGTTAAAGTTGAGGGACGCATGGATTCCAACCAATATCAGCAGATTCTGGAGACCAATGTCCAGGAATCAGTGACAAAGCTGCAGCTGCTGAAGCCGGGGCTGGATCTTCCAACAAGACAACCACCCTAAACACTGCTCAAAATCTACTAAGGCMTTCATGCAGAGRAACAAGTACAACGTTCTGGAATGGCCATCTCAGTCCCCAGACCTGAAAATTATTGAAAATCTGTGGTGTCGCTTTGTAATGATGGACTTCATTACTGGGATTATGTTTTACTAACACTATCACTTTTAGAACACTTTAAGAGGACTCTTGCAATTTATTAAATCACTTTAAGCATAGATTTGCATCAGTAACCAGTTGCACACTAGCCTGGTCCTTATCCTATGCAGTTCCACTCACTTCAAGTTTCCCTTCACTGCTCAATCTGGGATTTCTCCCATAGAGAAGGATTTCTTCRGGAGGGTTTTTCGTTCAGGCCAATCGTCGATTTTCTGAACAGTGTCTGCTTGTAGTTTATTTTATCTGGGCCAATCAGCAAACAGAAGGCAGAGTTTTGAACGACGTCGATGTTCTGCACAGTGTCTGCTAATTAGTTCAGCAATGACAGTGGAGGAAGTGAATGAAGCCAGTCCGTGCTGATAAGGCWTCCAAATTAAATTAAATTTGTCTGACAACGCAGCAGCTCTCATTTACAGTCGTCTCGTTCACCTCGGTCCTTCTCTCCTCTCAATAGGGTTGTTTACAGCACACGCGATTTCCGGTTAGCTTCTTAGCTTAGCACACAGCTTCACTGTGGAGCTGGCACACGTGTCGCAGCCAACAATTCCAATCATTTCAAACTTCAGCAGAGGTCACGCCTCCAGCAAGAATCACTTATCTATAGCCGAGAGTCCAGACCCTCGTACGAAGCAAAGTGGAGGACAAGGGTCTGGTTGTTACYAGGCCATTTGCRCACAGGAATCTTTAATTGTTTATTGAGTATTTATTGAGTATTTTAATAATTAGCATGTAGCCTTTTGTTCCAGGCCCTGCACAGCTGCTCCTCRTTGAGAAGTGGGGTGGTTGTCTGTGAGAAGGAAAGAATKGTTATTCAGAGCAAATAAGGTCTACTATTTAATGAAACTTGAGCAAATGTCTGTGTGAAGTCTATTGATAAAAGTGTAAGTGTTWGAAATGCCAGTWCTCACCTGCCTTTTCTGTGTCTTTCCAAAGGTGTTTGGGCAAATGCTTCCCACTGGGTCCAGACACCATTTATATAGGTTCTATGAGAGACCATGGAATAAGGGAGGGTGGAATTGTTTGTACAGGTTTTTCTTGTTGGTGTTTTCATGAGGCTGTTGAGGTGTAAGGTTGAAATATAAAATGATTATAAAAAAGTAAACGGGGAAATGTGTATATTTTTGTATTTATTAAAATGTATTTTATTTATAGGTGTAAGTAGTTGTAATGTGGTAAACTCACCTGTGAGTTAAGAATGGTTTAGTCCTCAATAGGTTATAAATAGTGTAAGAGTGAGCTTAAAGTGAATTAAGCTTTTCCCACATCTCTCATACACAAGGTTATGAGG